TTTTTGGTATTGGGCGCGTGCGCTCGCCAGACAGAGAGAGACAGAGAGACAGAAAGCAAGAAATCACCCCCCAGGGGGGATGGCCACGCCGCAATCCCTTCTCCTCCATTCTCCTCTCAGGATCTTGGGCACGTACACACATGCGCCCGGTGTGAGTTTAAGCCGCTGGGTCCAGGACTCGAACCGCGGTTGACTACGTGGGAGTCCAGCGACATAGCCATTATCCTAACTGCTGGTTATGTAAAAGTCTTTAGAAAATTATACAATTAAATATTTTATAGAAAATTCCATTCTAGCTATAAGAGATTAGTACACCCAATTTTTCTAAGGTTGTAGCTTTCTTTCAATCACAATGAATGTACAATTTTATAATAATATTTTTCTTCCCTTAAGTAAAATAGCTAGGCACCCTTTTTGAGGATAACTAGTCTGAACATTTTAAAAAAGAATTTTGTGAAAACTTAAAGTTCCATAATATCCTGTTAAGGATTCTATGGAAATTATTTCAAATTTTAAATCTAATTGCTTAATTTCTCATATCTTTAAATTTACATAATAATAGTATATATGAATTAAGTTTAGATTTACTTATTTTCCAGGTATAGCTTACCTTTTTTGAAAGGCTGCATTTTTTTTCATTATTCATGACAGAATGTGTATATGCATGAGAGAAAGAGAAAAGTATCTTCCACAGGGTCTGATCACACCTCAATCCCCTTTCTCCAGTCCTCCTGCCCTTTGAATTTTGGGCACTTGAGTTTGTCTGGCATGTCTCAGGCCAGGATTTGAACTGTGGTTGCCATGTAGTATCCAGTTTCTCTGAGCAGTGGATTACTCCTGCACTACAACTCTTATCTTATTACATTCTTTAATTCATTATTTTCTGGTATACTAGTTTCTAAGTGTACATTTTTAAAAGTGGGGCCAATTCTGTGGCCTGAAAGTTAAGACAGCCGGATCCCACATGGCTGAAGGTGTGGTTTAAATCCTGGCTGATGGCTTGAAAGCTCACTAGGTGTGTGTGTCATGCCCAAAATCCTGACAGGAGGTAGAAATAGAGGAGAAGGGATTGTGGCATGGCCATTCCCCTTGTGGGGTGCTTTCTTCCTTCCCCTTTCTGTCTCTTTGACAAGTGCATATGTGCTCTCTGGTGGACTGAAGGAAAAAAAGTGTACATGTGATGGCTCATGTAAGTGGAAAAGATGTCAAACTTCTTCTAGTGAGATTTACATCACTCTGACTAGAAGGGTAAGGGTCATATTTTTCATAAAGTCAGTGAAAAAAGTTTTTACAATTCCCTCAGTATATCAATTCCAAATCTTATTTCTCCTTTCTATGAATAAATATATTATTGCTACTATATGTATTTATGTAAGTACTGTATACATATGTATGAGGGGACTTTCAAAAGTTTGTGAAAAAAATAAAATTAAAGTAAGAGTTTATTTTGGCACCAAAAGGTTTTGAAATTCATTCAAAAGTGTTTTCATGATTTTCATTTTCTATGAAATTTGTAATATACTTTACATATATAATAAGTTTCTTTTGAGGGTTCATAAGTTACTATCTATTAAGAGTTTAGCACGTCCTACTACAGAATTAATTGTCAATACATGATAGTTATTTTAGTATTACAATGATATCTTTATTATTTACCACACATATAAGTATGCATTAGAGGAAATCTTGACAAAATTATTATAAAATTTTACCATTTGGGGACCAGCAGTTGGCATAATGGCTATGTTGCTGGACTCCCATGTAGTTGACTGCGGTTCAAGTCCCAGACCAGTGGCTTAAACTCACTCCAGGTGTGGGTGCGTGCATGACCAAGATCCCAAGAGGAGAATGGAGGCAAAGGGATTGTGGCATAGCCATCCCCCCTGGGAGGTGATTTCTTGCTTTCTGTCTCTCTGCCTCTGTCTTTCTGGCGAGCACATGCACCCTATAGTATAAACCTCTCCAAAAAAGAAAACAAAATTACCATTTAATAAAAGTTGTTTTTGTTTAAATACAGGCTTTCTATGGGCTTTAAAAGTTCAACACCAAGACTTTCTTATGGAGTACTTTAATTTTAGAGAAAATTGTTCTTCTACAGTTTATTTCAATTTGATCAGAAGTTTTGCATTTTCAAGGTCAGGAAATAAAAGGGGCTCTATTGTCAATGCTGTGTATTTTGCCACAACAAGTTCATACTCTCTTGGGAGAATGGTTAGTGGCCTGTGGTTATCAGAGAAGAGAGATCTTGGTTGAGAAATCCAAGGATGTTTCTCCATTTCAGAGAAAAAATGGCCCTAATTTCCATCTCCAAGGCCTCTGTCATATAGTGTCCTCAAGTGAGTGAGTCCGTCTGTTCTCCATAGCTGGTTGGCTTAAGTTTGTTGAGAATAATGCCCGTGGAAATACATCACAGATTCAGTTCAGTGCTTCAGGTCACAGATTCAAATCAGTGCATGAGCCAGCTGACCTTGAAACTTAATCCTTAATGTTGGCCAACTGGCTAGTGAGAACTCAGTAGGACTTGACTCGTAAGAGGTTCTGATGATGCTTGTAGGATGGAAATGAATCAGAGAGGTGCCAATTCACAGAGGGTCACTCCATCACTGTGAGCAGAAAACCAGCCCAACCTCAAATGTCAAGGAGAATCCCTAATATCTCCTCCTGGGAGTCAATGATTGCAAAGCTTATTATATGCATGCTTCGGTCAAAGTTCCTTTATGTTCAAAGAACTAAAACTCACTGAGGTTTATTATCTGTTGACGAGGATGTGTATGGTGGTCTCAACTGGGCTGGACTGAGGTATATATCATGCTGGGTAAAGTCTCTTTACAATCTAAATGATGTATAGTGATTTAATGTACGAATACTAATAATAAAAAAAAGAAAAATGGTGGGAACCAGCAATTAGCATAATGGCTATGTTCCTGGACTCCCACGTAGTCAACCGCGGTTCTCATCCCGGACCCGGTGGCTTAAAATTCACGCCGGGCATGTGTGCGTGCATGCCCAAGATCCCGAGAGGAGAATGGAGGAAAAGGGATTGCGGCGTGACCATCCCCCCTGGGGGGGTGATTTCTCACTTTCTGTCTCTCTGTCTCTCTCTGTCTGGCGAGCGCACACGCCCTGTAGCAAAAACCTCTCCCAAAAAAAAAAAAAAAAGTTAGAAAAAGAAAAATGGGAGGCCCAGCCTTGGTGGTGTAAATAGTAGCATGCTAAACTACAGTGCTGGATACCATGTGGGTGACCATGGGTTTGAATCCCCAGGAACATACCATGCATACATGTGGGTACCCAAGGTCTTGGCAAGCTGAAGAACTAAGGGAAGGGGATCATGACATGGTGAGATCCAATTAATGATATCTGTTTCTCTCTTTCTTTCTGGCATATGCATGTTCTCTGTTGTGAATGAACATTTTTTAAAAGGGTGGAGAGAGGCCCATCTGTGGTGGCACAGATAGTAGGGTACCACTGCATAATACTGAACCATATGGAAAAGCTCAGGGTTGGGGAGAGAGTCGCAGCATAGCAAGACCCTGTTAGGGGTCTCTCTCTCTCTCTCTCTTTCTCCCACTCCCCCTCTCTTTCTATCTAATGAAAAAAGTGAGAGCAACTTGCAGTCAACAATACACAGTGCTATCTTTTCTTTTCTCTCATTTTTAAATATAGGTTAATTTTTCTCCTCAATGATACCGAGGAAGCAGGGCATGGGTTAATCTTCTTTTGTACTCTCTCTTCATCTGGGCATAGTATTGAGCACAAGATAGTATATCCAGATATCCAGAAAGAGAGAGTGAGAGAGAGAAAGAAAAGAAGCTTTTTTTTAATAAAAATAAAAAAGAAGGAAAGGAAGAAAGATGGGGGAGGAGGTATAGAAAATCTCATGAACATTCAAGGATAGCTTAGTGCAGCAGGATCACAAAAGACCCACAGCTATAACCAGAACGGGAGTAGACTGCCAGGATGTGAGATCTTTGTGTCTCAGGGCTGCATAGTCAGGCAGTATAACATAGTAGATAAGAGCTCAGGCTATGAATTAAGACAGAGGGTTCATGTCTTGGCTCTACCTCCACCAGCTGGGCACTTTGGGAGGATGTCCTGGTTTTCTGTGCCTCTGGCATATGATTTCACTTAGATGCTCACATGGTATGGTTTTTGCCTTTGCACTGAGAAGCCACTCCCACCTTTCCTTTAAGAACATTCTCCAGCACCACTCCTCCCATGAATCCTTTCCAAACAGCCTTACTTCCATGGCTCCCTCTCTTCTCCAAACTCCCTTTGTGTACAGGATACACTGTAGCTCTCTTAAATTTTGTCTCATTTATTATTTATGTTATTTTGTTCCTCCTCAACAAGACTATAGACTTCTAGTAAGTACAGGTCATGGTTTTGTCTTCTTTTGTACTCTCTCCTTTCCTCTCCTCTCCTGGGCATGTAATTGAACACATCATAGTATATAAATATTAGGCAATTATTCACAATAACAAAAAAGACTATCATTTATTGAGCTCTTGCTCAATGTTAGTTGCTTTATTAGACCTTTATGTGCATTATTTCATTCTAGTTTCACACCTTGTGAGATAAAACTTTATGCTCTTTTCACCAATAAAATAAAAAAGGAGACCCAGAGAGATAAAGTTATTGTTAAGAGTCATCTACTGGACAATAAAGCCAGATTCAAACTGTTTGCTGCACTGCAACAGGAGGCACTATCCTTGATTCTGATGCAGTGCCATGGAGGCAAGAAGGCACATGAGGATCACCTGTACACCTTCTGAAGGATACACAGTTCCTCCACTCCTGTGAGAGCAATTCTGCTACATTCTCTTCTCCTCTTTTGTGTGATTCATTCATTGTGATTCATTCACTGCCCCCAAGTTTATTGCCAAGGGAATAAAAGGTTAAGAATGGTTATTCTAAAATAAGATTAACTTATTCATCGAAAGCTTTCTGTACTTAAAAGTACTCTTTGGACACTGTAGAGGACATAGAGCTTGGACTGAGTCATTGAAGAAATACCTTTGGCAGTAAGTTCAGGAAATGCATACAGTTAGCACATGAAGTATCATTTTAAAAGAGGAAGACATTACTTATGGGGGGATTCAAGGAGGATTCATGAGTGAGGTAACATGAATTTGGTCCTTAAAACATGGGTGGGATGTAGACTTGTGGAGCTTTAAGAGAAGGGAAATCCATCCAGAGGCACAGAAAAGAAATGATAGATAAGACAGCTTGTACCTCTGGGCATTATACAAATGAAGGAGAGTGTGGGAAGTAAAGTTGTTAAAGTGAATTAAGGCAGAAACATGAGGGCCTTGAGTGCCCAACTTACAAGGCTGATGCGATTCTGTGGCCATTGGGTGCCATTGGAGGTTTTTTAAAAGGAAACCAAAATAATTAAAATAACTGAAAAGTTCACCATATAATAATGTGTGCAGTGAGTGATGGAGGAAAAAATAGGCAGAGGGAAAACAGGAATGGAGATGAGGTTCAAATGGCTTGGTGATGGTGGGATTAAAAAGGAGGAAACACAGGTGAAGATACAACTGATGATCAGGCAACTGACTATAGGGTCAAAGGAATACAAAGTGTGAACAATTCTGTAATACGGCCACTGTTAACGTGCTAAATACGAATCAAAGAACAAATAAGTTTTGGAAGAGAGATGTATCCCTTTTCAGCTTATATTGCATCCAGATGATGTATAGATACAAAAGATATACAAACTATTTCAAAATGGGAGCTATATACTTAATTCTGAAATACTGATGGGTAACAAAAGCTGTGTAAAATGGGAAGAATTTAGTCTAAAGGTTAATTTTGAGGGCACAGATAGATATGGTTTGACAAAGGACAGGAATGGCCAGATGCCACAGGATTTTTAAAGGAAAATGTTGGCTTTAAGGAAACTAAAAGAACAGCTTGTCTTCCATTTGTAGACTAAAGTTTGGAGGGAAATACCACACTGGAGAAAGCAAACACTTTAAGGAAAGTGAAAGAACAGCCTGTCTGTTTCATTTGTAGACCAAAGTTTGGAGGGAAATACTGCACTGGAGAAAGAAAACGCTACCGTTTGTGTAATGTCCACCCATGTCGACCAGATGCGCCCACATTTCGGCAGATGCAATGCAGTGAATTTGACACCGTTCCCTACAAGAATCAATTTTACCACTGGTTTCCAGTTTTCAACCCAGGTAAGGAGTTTCAATAGTGAGTCTAATACCCAGGACCACAATCACTAGCAGGAGGCACGTGTGTGTTTGTCAGTTTCTGCGATGCCCTGCCAAGTTCAACAAAGAGAACTGTACCAACAGAAGTTTAATATTTTAGAATATGGGAGCACTGGCCTAGTTAAGTTGATCAGTAAAAGTTAAAGGCTGAACATGTCCAATTTTGTTTTGAACTCTGTGGGGGATAGAAGGGTTTAGGAGAGGTGAAGCCTCTCTTCAAAACAGCTGAGATACAATCAAACAATATGGGGGCCTTGTAGGTATTCAGTAGCTAATCGCTTCTTGATGGCTGTGTGGAGCTGACCGTGTTTTGGCAGAAATTCAGAACAGAAGGTCATTGTGGGTTTGGAATAATTTCAAAGAAGGCTTTCAAGGAAGCAGTTGATGATTGTTACGCATTAGTAATCTTTCTACTGAAAGAAGAAAATGGGAAGGCATTCTAGATAGTCATTCCAAGGGGAAAGAGAATACATGGGGAAAGGCAAGATAAAAAGAATGTCTTCCTTAGAATAAGTACCAACTCTGGGTTAGAAGTAAGAAATAAATGAAAACATTTGAAAAAATGCATATCAGGGTGTGGGGACATAACTGAGCTAGAGAAAAGAACAGCAGCCTTGGCAATACTTCCTCTGAGTCAGAACCAGTTACATATTCCCTCCTGAAAGTAAAGATCATTAGCTACAGAGTGACATCAAAAACCATCACATCTATCCAGGGGCTGAATCCTAGGAATCATTTTCCTATGACTTTGATTTGAGCTTTGGAATTTGGATTTGGAGTTTTGCATTTGGACATGAAAAAGAAAATAGCCATACTTGAATAACTGAGAATTTTTCTAAAGGATTTGTGAAGATAAAGAAGACTATTTTGGAGAATGGAGTAATAATGTCGGTCATAGAGGTAATGTTAGTAATTAGATTTCCCTATGGGAGGGGAACACCGCTCCCTAGAAGTCTATTTACAGGACATTGCTATGAACAGTGACAGCCATTATGTTTGCCTGGAGACTGCAACACTGGTAGCTATTGCTTATTTTTTCAGTTAACTCCACATATTCAGTGTGCTTTATTTATTTGTTTATTTATTTATTTATTTATTGTTTACAGATGTATATCTTTATTTCTTTTAAAAAGAATTTACCAAATATTTATTTTTTATTTATTTATTTTTGTTGTCATTGTTTACTTTTCCATGAGAGAGAGAGCAAGACGGAGTCAGAGAGAGGTCAAAGAAAGAGAGAAGTATAGAGACAAGCATCCCCACTAGGGTCTTCAAACTGCTATACACCTCCATCTCAGCCAACCTGGGTCACAAACTCATGTGTTTTAGTCCAGCATGTTCAGGAAAGTCCCAGGTCACAAACCTAGGAAATTTCCCATGTGGGTCTAGTGTGTCCACTGCTCCACCACCAGCTGATCCCCAGGGCCTTATTTTTCCAAGCACAGTTGGATGTTGGGCTAGAAGTTCTAATCCTTTATCATAAAAGGCATAGCATTTTGAGGCCATCTCCAATATTTAGCTCATTAAACATATACAGTGATTGAATGAGAGTATATATATAAGAAAATAAAAGAAAGAGGAAAAATAAAACAGCAATCATTGAAAAGAGAAAGTCTTCATTTCAGTGTGCGTCTCAGAAAGGTAAAAGATGGCATCACCAGACTAGACAACACATGGGGA